TAGCTAGTAGGGCTGGGACTTGGAACCGAAAACCGGGAAAACCGAACCGAACCGAACCGAAATTTCCGGTTCGGTTCGGTTCCTATAATTTTGGACTTCAGTTTTTTTCGGTTCGGTTCCTATAGTCTTTCATCGGTTCGGTTCCGGTTCGGTTCCAGTTCGGTTCCGGTTCCTGGCCAGGAACCGAACATCTCATACATTGCAGGAGTAATCTTCATTTGAGGTGCTTCTGGGTGGAATTTTTTGATGAAATTTTGTGAGGTTGTTTTCTATTAAATAAAGATTTTGTCCACCAAATTTGAGCTTAAAATGAAATCGGGAAATTAGTTAAATAAATTGTGGAAAAACACTACGCCAAAATATATAAAAAAAAACACAATGTTTTTCAATATTTTATTTAACTCACTTCCCGATTGAATTTTAAGCTGAAATTTGGTATATGTAATCTACATTTCATATAGAACATGCTCACAAAACTTTATCAAAAAATTCTTCACGGTAACACCTCAAATGGAGGTGGCCAGACGGCGTTCCGTGCAAAAAAGTTCTTGTCAAGAATATTTTTCTTGCATAATATACCTTAAATATTGTGGACCAGGACAATCTGAGTAGTTATCATTTTAATACATTAGTCCCTTTTTATATTTATTTTTTGTTTGTAATTGCATTTGTTATTGGAGTTCACCTAAAAAAATAATTAACATTCTGTTGATTACGTTGTTTGTTACTGTGTAGTTTTTACTTATTGTGCATTACTAGTAGAAGAATATTATTTTGGGGTTGAACTACCTGCTATTGGATGTGTACTTTGGAACTATTGAACCTTTTTGCTTGACAGTTGATGCTTGTTTTAAATCGAGATTTTTGTTATGTTTAAATTTAATGTTGCACTTAGATATTTTTTGGATATTTGAAAATTGAGATATCATGCGTGTATAATGTAATGGTCATAATTTCGTGAATTAAAATTTGAATTTTTTTTTATGTAACTTAAGGTAAAATGTGTTCATTTTAGGAGGATAATAAATTTTTGTTAGGAACCGAAAAAAGGTAAGAACCGAACCGAATTTAACTAGAACCGAACCGAATTTAACAACTACATTTTTAACTAGAACCGAACCGAATTTAACGCCTACGATTTTTATACGGTTCCATCGAATTTTAACAAGAACCGAACCGATCCCAGGCCTAGTAGCTAGAATAACTACCATAAGATTGTTAATTGCTTTATCGGCTATTCACAATCTTGTCATTCACCAAATGGATGTCAAAACAGCATTCTTGAATGGTGAATTGGAGGAGGAGGTGTATATGAAAAAACCCGAAGGGTTTGTTGTTAAAGGACAAGAAAAGAAAGTTTGTAAACTTGTCAAGTCCTTGTATGGTCTGAAACAAGCACCTAAACAATGGCATCAAATGTTTGATGAGGTGGTGCTGGAAAATGGTTTTAAAATAAACTGATCAGACAAGTGCGTGTATAGCAAATTTAATGAGCACAGTAACGGTGTCATTATTTGTCTATATGTGGATGACATGCTCATATTTGGCACTGATTTGAGGCAAGTGAAAGAAACAAAAGCTTTCCTCTGTTCAAACTTCTCCATGAAAGATATGGGTGAAGCAGAAGTTATCCTTGGAATTAGGATAATTAAACAAGGTGATACTATCACCTTAACACAATCTCACTATATAGAGAAAGTGTTGAAAAGATTTGGGGGTTTGGATTGTTCACCAGTTTCCACTCCCATGGATCCTAGTTGGAAATTAGTTCCAAATAGTGGAAACGTTGTATCACAGCTTGAATATGCTAGGGTGATTGGGTGTTTGATGTACGCAATGACTAGCACCCGGCCAGATATTGCATTTGCGGTAGGCAAGCTAAGTAGATATACTAGTAATCCTAGTATATTTCATTGCCAAGCCTTGAAGCGAGTGCTGAAATATCTAAAGAAAACAATGAGCTTCGGCTTATGTTACAAGAGTGAACCCTCTATATTAGAAGGTTATACGGATGCAAATTGGATAACTAATCAAGAGGATTATTCATCCTCAAGTGGATGGCTATTTCTTCTTGGAGGAGGTGCTATATCATGGGCATCTAAGAAACAAACTTGTATCACGGACTCTACCATGACTTCAGAGTTTATAGCTTTAGCATCAGCTTGTAAAGAAGCGGAATGACTAAAAGATTTGGTGTCAGAAGTACCGATATGGCCTAAACCTATGGCTCCGATACCAATCCATTGTGATAGTGCATCAACTCTGTCAAAAGCTTATAACCATGTGTACAATGGTAAGTCTAGGCACATAGGAGTGAGACACAGCTATGTGCGAGAACTTATTAGTTCTGGAGTTGTTGTGATTGATTTTTTACGATCACATGTGAATTTGGCGGATCCTTTTACAAAGGCAATGCCAAGAGACATGGTGTACAAAACTGCAAAAGGGATGAGGTTAAAGCCCTTAGAAAATAATCACAAGTGAAAGAAAGCGCAACTCAACGTCTAGTACAACGCTAGATCTTGAGTTCAATGATGATGAGTAAATCACTTCGTGGTTGAAGCACTTTTGAATTATAACCATCCCAAGGTAAGTGCTTGACTCTGCAATGTGTAATGAGGTTGACTATGTCTTAATAGATCTTTGGAGAAATTCATACTAATAATCCGTACTTTATCTGATTCTACAATATTAATCCGTACTACAAATATTGATAAAAATAATCCAAACTGATTAAGTCATTCACGTAAATACATTAAATGAAACGGAGGTAGCACTTTCGTTTTATATTGCCCTGCTTTGCCCATTTACCACGAATCCTGCCTTACTTCTTCCGCGGCTCACCAGTTCTCTCTTCTTAGGCTGCAACCTCATCTCCCCCTTATCTTATTCTTCTACCTCTCGTGGTCCCTTTCAACCTCACAGAACAACCAAATAACATTGTATTTTGAGCAGACAACTTTATATTATTAATTTATTATTTATTATTGTTACTATTGTCATCACGTTTAATCTTACTCGGCCACTCATCTTGTTTGATCATCGAATAAAGGGTCCGTCCAGGTGTCCAGGTTTTGACACTGAAAATAGTTCTCCAGAAAGAGCTAGTTTTCTAGAAATCATTGAGTACTTGGACATGTGGTCTTTTGACGTTTTTCTCAAAATTGATGGATCAGTTAGGATTAGAGATTTAATGAAAAAAAGAGGAGAAAGTGCTCTGGATAAACCAGGGACAAGCAGGTAACGAGAACTCGGAGAGGTAGTGCTGTGGCGGTGGGTTTGTGATTTGTATCAACGGAAAGTTTGACTCCGTTGAGTTTAATCTATTTATGTGAAGTGATTTTCCGGTTCGGATTATTTTTATTAATATCCTCGGTAGGGATTATTGTTGTAGAAATGCATAAAGTAGGGATTATTGATATGAATTTCACCTAGATCTTTTGATAAAGTGTTTGATTGCATAACACAATTTGAAAAGGTCTACCTATGTGAGCTAGAATTGCGGCCGATTCACCAAGTTTAAGGCTTTACTTGTTGGAGCTCATGAATGGATATGGATACAAGGCCGTTAATAGTGTCTAGTTTCTAAGTGAACTTGTATTAAGATTTATGTGTGTAATATCTTCAATATTTCAAAGTGGTTATATAGTTCAAAGCTTAGTCTACTATTATGATCCGAAATATTGTAAAGAATATTGCATTAAATGAAAGTTCAATCTTTAAGACACTTTCAATTATGCATAAATCTTAATAAGTGGTTTATTTTGGCAAGGATATGATTGAGTATATTTATTTTCAATAAATGGAGGAGGATTGTTGGATATTTATTGGAAATAAAGCTCAAATATTAATTTACATGGTCTTAAACTATTTATAAATTAATATGGTGTTGTTAAGATATTTATATGTAATTGTTATTGTTATTATTATACATCATGAGCATTACTTTGTACACGTGTGATAGTGGTCTCATGATTATAATATTATTATTCAATTACATTTTGCTTTCTTAACTTATTTCAAAATATTAAATGTTTTATTTTAATAGTTAGTTGCCACTTTGCGGCAGGATACGTTTTGTGTAAAACACTTTACATCAAATGGAATTCTTTATTAAAAGAATGCATTTACGGTTATTTTATAAAAGAGACATCCTCTCGCTTCAGGATTCATGGCCGTTCAACCAAGGTTCATTTCGGTTGAGAGAAAAGTCTCTTCTTAGAGAGTTGCCTTATAATTATAAATAACATCCGGACCATGTTAATTAATGTACGAATCCAAAGTCAGTTTTACTCTTCTCTTGCCTTACTAAAATACTAATATCTGCAGTGTTAGTATTGGAATGTTTAGACCACTTTATATACAAATCACTTGTTCGGTGTTATTTTTTCGGTAACTAAAATACACCATACACCTTCTTTTTATCCCAAAAGTTCTATCTTGTAACCCGGTTATTGTGATAAGGGTAGATAGTAAACTTTTAGGAAATTAGCGTATTTTATACGTGACTAGAAGTGATATCCGGTCCTGCCATATTTCACACCCTTATACTTCATTATTTTTATCCTCCAGTTCTAACAGGTTAACCGTACCAAACCATATCAAAAGGACTAAATCGAACTGACGAACATATGTAATTTAGTTTGAGTTTGATAGTATTTCTTCGAAATTGTATTACACCAAACTGAACCAAAACCGATAAAACCGAAAAATTCAAATTAATTCTTGAAGATAATTGCGCATTTTTGCGTTCTCGAATTAATTTGAATGTGTTCCCGATTGAATTTTTAGCTGAAATTTGGTATGAGTAAACTAGACTTGGTGAATAAGATGCTCAAAAAAATTCATCAAAAAATTCCACCGGGAACTGCCCCAAATCGCGACGGCCGGACAGAACCTCCTATAGAAGAACTTAATTGACCTTTTTATGAAAGTTCTAGACCCATTTGACAGTTTTTCCAACCTAATCGAAACCATGTAATCGAAACCATGAAAACCGAATTGAAAACCGGCCACCCGTAATTGGTTCATTCAGCTAGGACCTCATCAATCCGTCCTACGCCCTCCTTCCCCAACGGCGATTGAACTTTCTTGTCTAGCGATCATGGGCTGCTCTATCTTCTGAAGTTCACAAAGTCCATTGCAATCCAATGGCATCCTACGTAGATGTAGGGAAGTGCAAATTTGTACGGTTCTCTCTTACTTCCGCCAGCACTCCCCAGCAAAACAGCCGTCCATCTTCTTCCACGCATCTTTCTTCCCATTTCCAGACCGTACTCTTGAGACGACCCCTTTACCCGAAATTTGGATTGAAGCTGCGTCATTGTTTCCCTCTATACGCTATGCGAGGCAGGACTTCCCAGAGAATTTTTATGAACCGCCAACGAATTAGATTGATTAACCGGGCAGGACTAGACCGCTTCGGTTCTGCAGAAAACCAAGAGGTGAAAAGGTTATGTTTTCAGTACATGTTCAGAAACTATGCATTTATTTAAGCATGTTTAGGTTTGAACTTTCTCTTCTGTTTGCTGCAAACTGGCCTTTTAGTATGTTATTGCAACATTTTTTCTATTGCTACATTATTCGACCGCATGTCTGTTTTCTGATATCGATTTTTCAAATGTATTTGTTTGGAGAACACCATTGGTTTGCATTTATCATATAATCTGAAAGTTACACTAATGTCACAGTTATCATATTAGTTAGTTAATGCGGAATGGTTTTACCTGAATTTATTACCAGAGTCTATTTGGATGAAAGGTTTTGGAGGGGAAGGCTTACCATTTACCAGTCTAGACTTTGATACACCCACTCCGACACGATCATAAGATCAACTTAACTTGTGATGATATAGACAAAGTCTATCACAACTATATGACACAAGCCTAAGATATACACACACTCCGACACAATCATCGTAGTACTCCGTATAATATTTCAATCACAGCTATTTCTTTCTCTTAGAAACATTTTATTTATCAAGATATAGACTAACTCCTCCAAATACTTCCCCTCCAAACATGCCTTTAAGAAAAAGAAGAATCTTTCTTTCTTCTAACTTTCTATGTTACAAATTCCAGGAAAAAACAATTTTTTTCATAAAGTAATACCCCTTATAATAAAGCAAAGAACACACTTTTCTGAATACGCATCGTGATAGTATTCTTTGGAGATAAATTAGAATATATATTCACTTATTAGCATATTTTATACTTCATCATCTGCCTTGTTTGCCTGTATTTAGATTACTAAATTGCAATCACTGAAAGGTGTGTTTTTGTAGCAATCTGAACCGGCCTCCAGTTCCCTTGCAAGGGAAAAATCAAGTCAGTTGATTAAAAGAGTAGTCTTTGGCCTAGGCATTGGGGTTTGTGCTGGAGGCGTGGTATTGGCTGGTGGTTGGGTATTCACTCTGGCCCTTTCTGCTGCTGTGCTTGTGGGTGCTAGAGAGTACTTTGAATTGGTTAGGAGTCACGACATTGCTGCTGGAAATGCCCCACTGCCTCTATTTGTTTCACGGCTCATCCCTTTGATCTGTGCCGTTATGCCTGCATTTACACTGTAAGAGATTTTTGAATCTATTCATGATTCGAGATAAACAATTTCACAAGCTGATGTCTAAACAATAGCCTGAAATGATACCATATCTCATCAACATTCAAATTGATTTAATCCGCACATTTTATAATTTTGTATTCAATATTTATTTTCGTGACTTCATGCTTAACTTCCTTCGAACATTAATATGCAACTTGATTTCTGTTTCCTAGTTCAGTTCAGGTGAGGACACGTAATACAGGACTCGTTTAAAAAGTTGTTTTATGACCGAAGAAAAAAGTTCGGTTTGATCAATTGAATATAATTTTGTATCAAATTTGCCAAACAGTGTAGCAAGCAAGCTTAAATGTGCTTAGTTTAGTTTAAATTTAAGAGCATTTAAAAAAGTAGATATGGAGGCCATTTTGCAGCACTGTTTTTTGGTTTATCAGGCTTATCAGCCAACTTTTTCGCCAAACACGTAACTTTTACTTTCGCGCGCTGAGTTGTGTAATAAGCAGAAAAAGTAAGGTTGAAGTTACTTTTCTGGCTGTTTTGGCTGAAGTTACTGTAGATGACCATTTTAGCTATTTTTACATATAATTTTTTCTTTATTTTATTAATAAAATATATTTTAAAAGTAATTTTTTCTTAAATTAGCATAATCAGCCAATGTAGCTACTTCAGCCAGAACTTCAGAAATTTCAGCAGAAACAGCCAAAACAGCCGATTTTCGTGCTACCAAACGGGCTCATGATTTATGATTTTTGTTAGTGTCCCACTTCAGATGTTTACAAGACATGTGTCTAAGCCTAGTTTTTAAGTAACATGGTTCACAGCCTGGTCCAGTTGTGGTTTATTTGTTTGATTGTTTGGTATCCATGGTTTGGGGCCTTAGGTTTAGCCTGCTTGAGATCAGTTTGGCCCATTACTACCAATGCATAATTTGTTTCTTCACTGGATATGGGTTAAAAATATAAATATGAGGAAACCTCACCTCTTGTCTTTTGAGGATCCTCACCTGGTGAGTTAGGCCCAATTTAACAACTTGTAACATCTCTACCTTTCCAAAAATAACAATTTTACATTACAAAACAGTTCCGTATCACGTGATCTGCACCTGGTTAGTTATGCCTATTTCATAGTCTTTTTTCAAATATTTTTTAGGTGCCAAAAGAGTCTTGTTAGATCAATGGTTATGACAAACTATGTTAAAATATAAAATGCTTTCAAAATGTAAGTACGGTGGTGGAAACAGAACACATTTTTGAGGTGGTTTCTGCTCTTTTATCGGCATGTCATGTTTCCATTAAACCTGAACATGTATACTCCGTATCAAGGTTCAATATTGCACATTGCGTAGTTGAGGTGGTTTATCAGAATGCATATTGTGTACGCCTCATTTTTTTGTGTGTCATGTGTAAAACTCCCTTTATTTGTTGTTATGTGATCCACATGCTTTTTGGAAAGTTTATAATGATTTGATTCATTTCTTTATGTGGCAACTGTTACCCTTCACACAAACAGCCTATTTCTTTCACCTTTTTCACATTTTCAACTTTATCTTTATCTGTCTTCTAAATCTTCTATTGTTTACTGCTACTACTCTTTTCGTCTGACACACGGAAAATCTTATTTGGACAGTTAATTAAAACTTGGGGAAGTATTGCTTTGAGATTTATTTTATATTTAATGTGAATTAAAGGAAAAAGTAATACTACATCAATGTTTAAGTTCAAAATAAGTCCTAAGAATTTTTGCAAGTATTCTTAAAGTTTTGTATATGAGATACAATTTGAAGTTAAAACAAGAAAAAGGGAAGCAGAATGCTTTGAATAAATTTTTTAGTTTGGTAGAAATGAAAAAAAGAGTCAAAGATTTCAAACTTTGTCGTTTGATAAAAATGAAACAAATATCTAAGTTTTGAACCAGGACGCACTCAAAATCTTCAGTCCATTTATCCATGAAGGTGATGAAGCAACTAGCCAAAAGATACTGTCTGTTTTGCCACATACAAAATTATATTCTTTTTAGCCTGAAAAGTTAAATGGGTTCCGGAAGAAAGGGTAAAATGGCACCTACAAGGATTGAACCCGAGACCCAGTGTATGCTATTAGAAGCGTCAACTATCTCACTATGTGCAAGATTAAACTCAATAGGGTCACGATATTTCTTTTCATTAAAACCAGCATGAAGGGGTGCTTCCCTGAAAATATATGTAAATATACCCTACAGTCGTCACAGGAGGGGCGCAGGTACCTGCTCAGCCCCCCCTAGATCTGCTGGTGTGTAATTATGATTCATGATTTAAAACATTTGTACCTCCTGAAACTAAAAAGTTGTATCTTGATCATACAAGATTACTACGCAGTATTTCTTTGGAGGGAGTGTTATATATAGCAGAAAGGTCATGCATGCATGTGTTCATTGTGTTTAAGCATGTTATTTGCGTATTTTGATAGAGTGACATTACAACATGAGTAATTGTGTATCTAGTATAGTAGTATCATAGTCCTTCATACTTGTGTGACGTCGTCTCTTCATTTTGAATTGCTTCTTTATCCATTCAGTGGCCCAAACTCGAAAAACACATGTTCACTCTAATAGGTTTTCTGGATATTATTACTGAAAGTCTTTTTAGTGTCAGTTTTGAACCCCCAAAATTATCAGGGAAAGAAATTATGGAAGAACTTAGAGAGGAAAATGAGAGGGAAAGATACTTTGTGAGAAAATAAATGATAAACACATACCCTATAAATTTATTTCAGATATTTGTTTGAACTCTTCATATTATTTATTTGTATTATATATATAAATATTCTGAAATCTAAATACGTAGTACTCTGTATAAGATATTTTTTAAAATCGTATTTCGTATTGCTTTGCATTTTTCTTGGTTATGCAACTCCCCATAGCATGTTTTTCCTTTCACTGGTAGTATCTGTGACCCTAATATACCCTTAACTGATTGGAGTTTCTTGCACCTTGACAGATTCTTCGGGCAAATTGATGTTTCATTGACTTGTGCAGCCTTTGTTGTTGCCATGTCACTGCTTCTGCAAAGGCAAATTCCCCGTTTTCCTCAGCTTACTAGTGCTATGTTTGGGCTGCTCTATTGTGGCTATCTTCCTTGTTTTTGGGTTAAGTTGAGATGCAGTTTAGCAGTGCCAGCCCTACATACAAGTAAAAACTAATTTTCAGTGATTTGTTTTGGATATTGCATTATTTCTAAGAATAATACATTTTGAGGTTTGGAGAACATATTGTTAAGGATTCTTGTCATATGCATCACAATCATTCTATAGTGTATTCCCGTATTATATTCTTTAGCGTACTCCTGTATATTCTTTAACAAATTGTATGCATTTAAAACTAGAATTTGACTCACTGAGTTAGATATGCTTGATGAGAATTAGTTTGGGTTATTTGGAAAACGCATTCTCAAGTGTTTATTGTCCGCGATCAGTTTTGGTGAAAGAGTCATTTCAGCCAAATAACTCTTTTCATATGAGCCTGAAGTTTTATTGTTTGTACTTTCTTTCTTGATTTTTGATGCCAATTTTCTCATCTCACCTTTTTTGCAATCCTTTCTTTACTTTCATATTGTCTCCAATTATAATAGTTTTCTCATTGCAATAATGATTTTAAGGTAGAAATTATTTCGCTAGACTTCGATGGAAGTTAAGCATACTGTAGATTGAACCCTCCACCTAGTAAATAACATAAAATTGTAGGGATTATCAGCTATAAGATATTATTAATGCCATTCTTTTGCTGAAATTTGGTGCGATACTTGTAGGATGAGTATTGTAAATTTGAATTGATGCAGAAATAGCAGAATCCTGGCCAGCCTTATTGGGAGGGCAGACTCAGTGGACAGTGGGTCTTGTGGCTTCCTTGATTTCTTTTAGTAGTATCATTGCAGCGGATACATTTGCCTTTTTTGGCGGGAAGGTAATTTGATGTTTTTGACTCTTCATTTAAATATCTTCAGATGGGAGAATAATTTTTTAAGTGGATGATCTTAACTCTAATATTGTTTCACTACAATCACCAATCTTTGACAATCATAGATCCAAACCTATTATCATCTTGTTATTGTTAAATTGTTTTTATCACGATTTGGCACTCCTATGATTTCACATAATTTACATTAGAGAAAAGGGGCAAATAAGCTCGCGTACTAACTAAAAAAGGTCAAATAAGCCCTTATATAGGAGGTTCTATCCGGCCGTCGCCATTTGGGGCGGTTCCCTGTAGAATTTTTTGATGAGTTTTTTTAGCATCTTATTCATGAAATCTAGTTTACTCATACCAAATTTCAGCTAAAACTTCAATCAGGAAGGCATTCAAATGAATTCTTGAAGATAACTGCACAGTTAAAAGCGCAGTTATCTTCAAGAATTCATTTGAATGTCTTCCCGATTGAATTGTTAGCTAAAATTAGGTATGAGTAAACTAGACTTAATGAATAAGATGCTCAAAAAATTTCATAAAAAAATTCTACCGGGAACCTCCCCAAATGACGACGGCCGGACAGAGCCTCCAATCTAAGGTCTTATTTGACCTTTTTTGGTTAGTACATGGGCTTATTTGCCCCTTTTCCTTTTACATTATGCAACTAAATGTCTTGAGTTTAAAGAGCGCTAACAAGGTTTTCTGGCATCTGTTTTATGGGGATATATGGTTCGGTTTTGGATGTAAAATGGAATAATGATATGATCATAAGGGGATCTTTGGTATCTTGCACACAAAAGTTTTGCAAGGGAAGTGTGCAGGATGCAATTACTGTACATGTAAATTAATTATGCATTTTTTTTATTCAGTGTGGAATCTCTTTTTCATTTTAAATTGCATGCAAAGTAGTTCTTTCCTTTATTTTCCATAGTTCAAAATATTTCCATGACCCCGCCTCACCCATAACACATTTTACATGGTACATTGCAAATGTATTTAAAAGGTACGCTCCATTTTGTCTTGAGAAGTCAACGCAAAGAGCCCCTACTCTGTGCGCATTAATTGTTGGGAAAAGGGGCAAAAATGACCCTAATGTTTTATTTCAGGTGGAAATATGACCCTAAACTTTTTTTGGGGTGAAATAGACTTAAGAAGTATGTTTTTTTATAATCTAGGCACCTCCTACTAACGGAAGTATTAACTCTAGGCATTCTACTAACGGAAGAAAGTAATACCTCATTTCTTATACTCTGTCTAGTGACATTTTCACATGGAAAAAATTAAACCGGTTATCTACTTTATTAAATAAGCCCATACATAAAAACAAGGAAAGAAAAACAGAAATATATAAAAATATTAAATGCAGTTTATAGTTCAAAATCCGACAAAAAAACTGCCCAATAAATGCAGTTTATTGTACAAAAAAGCTGCCCAATAAAATCCGACAAAAAAACTAGCATACATATAGATGCTAGAAATCATAGGTTTAACTAAACAGCAAAAATCTAACTAATCCAGGCATTCAAAACCACATTAGTGCCATTGCAGCTTGTTTCAAATCTGTCCCTTCATGTTATTTTCTTGCAATGCATGGATTGTCATAATTGTTGCCTTGTTGGTGCTCCTCTTCGTTGCAGTCATGAAGGTTGAAACTACAAGTTCCTTGGTGTAATAACCTCTGATCTAAACTCACTCTCACTGGGAATCGCGAATCTAACATTAGGATCAGATATTGAAGTTACGTCATGCTCAGCTCCACCGATCAACATTCTTTGACTATTCAGTGCATGCTACATAAATAAGAACATACGCTTAGCACACTAATCAAATATGCAAGCAACCGCGGAGTAATTTTAAACTGCTCACCACATCAAAAAGTGCATTTTACTTGCATTATTAGTTTTACCCCCTCTACTTAAGACATGGCACTGAGATCCTCTACGCTCTTTATCTTTGAAAGCTCTCGCTTTTGACGGCTTTGATGAACTCCCAGGCACCTATTACATTTGAACAAAAATCAACCACTTATATAACTTCATCTTCAAGAATATAGAATAACATTACTATTACATAACCTGATTTTTGTTCGGACATCTGCTCCTGTTATGTCCTGCCAGGTTACATATGGTGCAACTTTGCTTCTGTCCTCTTTTGGAATGCTTGTTTGGATTTGACGGAACATGAGGTTCATTTGCGTTCCTAATTCTTTTCTTTCTCGGCCTGCCAGTCATTTTCACAGGAGGAGGAGGTTCTATTGGTTGAAATTCATGCACTCTCATGAATTGCAACCCAGGCACAGGTAATAAAACATTGCCATATGCTGCCTTATACGTGGATTTATGAAACCACATAGATATTACAGACAACGGGTCTAGTTTGCTATGGTATAAAGCACAAATTGCATGAAGGCATGGGATTCCTGTAATATCCCAAGACCTACAGGTGCAAGACCTTTTATCAAGTAAAACAATGTGTTTGTCAACTCCTTCTCCAATTTCATATCCTACATCACCGTTAAACTCAATCCTACACCTAGAAGCATTTTCTTTATTCCCTTGGTATATCTCCATGCAACTTGGACTCCAATCATTGAACCATTTTTCACATAATGACTTCTTGTCCTTGATTTTATTCATTACTTTTAGCCTAATGTCTTCAAGCATGCTAACAATAGGTTTGAATCTTGCCTCAAGAATCCAGGAATTGAAACATTCTGAAATATTTGACACTTGCATCGTGTAGAAAAATATGCTCTACACCACTGATGTTCTGGAGTTTTCTTTAAATCTGTAACAGCTTCCTTACTCATATTGCCAATTGCACTTAAATTCCTTTCAAACTTCTCCTCATATGTGCTCCAAGCACATGCCAAAAATTTCTTTTGAAATTCTCCTCCTCTCCATTTTTTGGACCAATTAGCCCATATGTGTCTAGCACAGAATCTATGCTCTGACTCTGGAAGCACTGTATTAACTGCAAGTGCTATTCCCTGTGTCACAGAAATACATAAAAACATTTACTTATAATTCAATAAAATAAACATTTATTTGAAATAAAAAAATCATCAATAATATATACAATATGAAAATTTATAAAAATCATAAATTATGTATGACCTTTTGTTTGTCTGAAATCAGTGTTAGCTTAGAGCCTTTATCAAGTTCCAATTCTTGACCTAGCCAGCTTAAGAACCATTTCCAATTGGCCTTTGTTTCTTTGTCAATTACAGCCCATGCAATTGGCACCATTTGATCATCTCCATCAAGTCCAACAGCCGTGAGCAATTGGCCTTAGCAGACACCTTTCAGGAAACACCCATCAAGACCAATGATTGGTCTACACCCACCTTGCCAATTCTTTTTACAAGCATTAAACATTATGAACATCCTCCTAAAAACCCTCCTGCCATCCACTAATGAGTCTTTACATAACTCAATTTCTGCTTTTGTACCGGGGTTACTTCTTTTTAAGGCAGCTGCATATGCTTCCAAGTATCCAAACTCAACTTTGTAGCTCTCATCCATTTCTTGAATAATCATTCTTTTTGCTCTCTTGCACTTGTCAAAACTAACATTCAACTTAAGCACCTCTTTGGCTTCTTTTCTCATTTCTTTTACCTTGAATGTTGGTTGCTCGTATACCTTCTTCTTGAAGTATTTAGCTAAATACTTTGCTGAAGCACTTGGTATGGAGAAATGTCTAAAACACCTATGCTCTGGTGTTATGGTTTTTACAGCTAAACCTGGATTTCTGCCATCTTTTGAAATCAACAATACAAATGGGCAGCCTTCTTCATTCTTGCATTTGACCCTCAACCTGGTTGGCTCATTAGGCTTAATCTTTAACTTATAACCGAACTTCACTCCATATTGTGCTATTGCAGTCCTTGCTTCAAGAGCACTAGCAAAAGTCATTCCAGTAATAAAGTAGCTATTTCCATCTTCTTCGTTATAACAGATTCTTTCTGGCGGAAGTTTATTATTGGATTTATCACTAGAAGAATCAGTGGTATCGTCTTCTCCATTCTGAACATCTTCTTGTGCATCACTCTCTTCTTCTGCATCACTCACATAATTAAGCAAAACTTGATTATCATCCCAAAATTCATGAGTAAATTCATTAAACACAGCCCATGCTTGTTCACACCCACTAACATCATTCTGACCACCTACCTCAAGATGCCTTCCCATCCCATCAGAAGCCACAGTAGATCCAATTCTATGCATTTCATTTTCCACATTGTGACAATTTTGAGTTTCCTCAACCGTGCACCTTTTTTCATTCCAAACTTTTTCGATTTCATGCATGTCGTGTGCATAAATTGGGATATCAATATCAGTGGCAGCATAAAAATTAATTTCTACGATCCATGTATATTTTCTAATGTATGTAAGGATTCTCCTAAGCGAGACATCATTATGGATCAGGAACAAACCGGTGTCAACCCCCTTTCCAGGTTGTAGCACAAAAATATTCCTTGTGTTTTTAAGTTTAAAATCAATCTCATACTTCTTCTTTATGCTCTCATAGCTAACAGAATCAACATCAGAAATTGTTATAACATCAGCTTCACCATATTGATATTCCAAATGTCTATTATAAACCCATGAACCGCCATGGTGAAACTTAAAATTGCAAATATTATTCATCCTGCACACAAATAACATACGATTTTTTTATAAGAACGATGTCAAATAGGGAAAAATCACATATTTCAAATTGATTAAACTGATTCGGTTCCCAAAAATTAGATTCAAGAACGGATAAAACAAAATCTATGGAACACACTACAAAATCTTCTTTAATAAACCCAGCTTTGTTCAAAATTAATGTTCTCCCTTGAAATTACAAACCCACTCAATCGAGAACACAAAGGATATGGATTCATTCCAACTACAAATCAATTTAAATCCTATAATAAATAATCCCTAATTCCAGATTTAAGAAGAAAATACAAAAATGAAATATAAACATTATCCCACATGTTACCTTTCTCTACGGTCGAGAAGATTTTGGGTGGAAGACGCTCTAAATCTTGAAAGCTTAACACTCCAAAAGGGTCTAAAGTTTAAACCCTTGTCATCGATGAAAAATAGCGGACGCCATTTGAGCTCCTCTTTGCCGTTCTAGTTTAGTCTAAAGATAAAATGCTGCTCAATTTTAATTAGGTCATATATTGTGGGGTTATTTACACAGGCCTATGCGTGAAAAGAAACGGCACCGTGAGTGGAGGTGCCTAGATTATCTAAAAACGTAATTCTTGGATTTATTTCACCCCAAAAAAAGTTTAGGGTCATATTTCCACTTGAAATAAAACATTAGGGTCATTTTTGCCCCTTTTCCCTTAATTGTTTATTTTGCATCATATTAGACGCTCCCTATGCAGGCTTTTGGTAGGACTCCCCTTACGGTTATTAGCCCAAAGAAGACTTGGGAAGGGGCTCTAGCAGGTCTTGCTGGTTGTATAACCACTACTGCACTATTGTCAAAGTTACTATGCTGGCCCACATCTATGCTGAGGTGGTGTCCAACAGTTTTGTCATCTTTTTCTTTTTTTCTTTTCAAAAAGTCATTAGTTTTGAATTAGTGTTTTTTTCCAGTGCATTGGCTTTTGGGGTTGTAAACTTTTTTGGATCAGTTTTTGGTGACCTTACGGAGTCGATGATCAAGCGTGATGCCGGTGCGAAAGACTCGGGATCCCTCATCCCTGGACATGGTAAAAGACTGTTCTACCCATGTACACTCATACATTAGTTATTGAGTCTTGTCCGGTTTATATGTTATTTGAGCTTGGAGAAATTGTTGGAATGCACAGGTGGAATACTGGACAGAGTAGACAGCTATATATTCACAGGCGGCCTAGCTTATTCTTTCATTCAAATATGTTTGCCACTCTATGGTGTTTAGTTAATGAGATGATAATTTATTGCTTACCCCAAAGGTTTAGGTTTTAAAGACGTACACTTTCAGAAGGCCATATGCTCCATCTTGCAAGTAAAATGTACTTGTTTCAATCTGATATACAAAAAAAGGGTTGAAATTGGAGTACTATTATACTCCCTCCGTAACTTAAAAATCTTCCCACTTTCCTTTTTCGTCCGTAACACAAAAATCTTCTCATTTCTAAATCTTCCCATCATACCCTCAATAATTCTTAAAATAATACACTATTACAACTACTTTTTTTGGATTTATCCTACATTCCACCACATTATTCCACTATTTTCCCATCATACCCTCAATAATTCATATCATCTTTCACTATTCTTAATCTACCTACTTTTGAAATGGGAAGATTCTAAAGTTACGGAGGGAGTATATCTAAAAGCAAACCAGCAGAGGCAGACAGGACAACTCTCTGAAACAAGCTTTAGCAAGTTTTTTTGGCTTTCACGTGATTTTGTCTCTTTATGAAGAATAGTATCGCATATGTGTGATATACCGATATATATAGAGGGTAAGATTCAGGTAAGAATGGTGTTCGGGGAGAGAAATGAGAATAAAATCTGATCATGAAATACACGAATTCAAAGGCTAAGATTAGATATATATTATTGTGATTGTGTGGCTATTAAGTTGAACTTTGAATGGCTATTATAATCATAAAAAGAATGGTTTTAGCTCGAAGTATAGAAGTGTAAAACTCATCACCGTTTATTATGAATAAAATAATGAACAGCTTTTCCATATAAATAGAATTGGAGCATTGGACCATTAAACCCAGTACAATCTCTTAATAAGGACCTTTATTTTCCTTTAATAATTGATTGATTTATTTGGCTTGTTATTTGAAACAATAAATATAATAATCAAGATATTTGGTTTTCAAAAAAAAAAATCAAGATATTTGATTAAATTTATCAATTGTGTAGGTGCATTATTATAATATTATCACTATCAATTTACACTTTGGAACTGTGAATGTTGCACTAAACCTTCCAAATTAATGTAGCAAAGAATTAGAGCCAAATCTAATTCACTTTATTTCTCCTATTAAAAATGGTAACACAATTATTGCTAAGTTTATCAAGTAGTTTTTCCTTAAGTATTATTGAAATATATTTTAGATAAAAATATTATTATACTCCGTAGTTTTTATGCATAGACGCAATATCAACATGGGGTGTTTGACAATTAACTATTGGTTGATTGTGTTAGTTGATAATAGCGAATTCTTTTGGTTGTTTTGATTAGTTGATATTATGATGTTTGATTAAATGACTATTAATAATAAGTTGGTAATTAGTTAAATGACTTTTAAAGGAATAAATTATATTTTTGTTAATGTAATTAGTACAACTACTTAAACAATTACAGTGATTTAAAAATGCAAAATAACAAGTAATAAAAATATACCCAAAAAATTGTATAACAGAAAAGAAAAATGTATTAAAATACTAAACTCACCATAATCAAAATACTGATAATCACTTTGAGCTCATCCTCCTAACAAACAGCTCTTTATCTGCTTCATGAACTAAGCCATAAAGGTTACTTCTTTCCCACAATTGTTCCATGTGTGTAAGTTATCTCCTGCTAATTATGACACCTAATTGCAAATTTAAAAATGGGTGTTGCCTGGTTAAGATCAATTTTTCGGATGTACGTTTGATTGTAGACTAAACGCAATCGGTGGCGGAACCAGAACAGTTTTTGAGCAGGTGCCGGTGTTTACCTAAAGAATTACTCCGTATACAACAATAACTTCATATATTCCCTCCGTCCCGTAAACAACTTCCCACTTTTCTTTTTGGGCAGTCCCGAAATTAATTCACACTTCAATACTTTCTTTATTTGACAAATTATCTACATTAAAACGGTGTCAAACAGTGCCAAACAGTGTCAAAATGTGAACTTAATTGCGGGACGGAGGGAGTAGTAATTACTTAGTTACATAAAACTTGATTCATTAGAAGCCCGTTTGGCAGCCCTACTTTTCGGATTATCAGCCTTATCAGTCAACTTTTTTCACCAAATACGTAGCTTTTGATTTGGTGTGCTGAATTGTGTAATAATAAAAAATACGGAGTGGTAAGATTGGACTTGCTTTTCTGGCTTTATTGGCTGAAGTTGCTTTTCAGGCGATTTTGATATTACCAAATGACCTCTAATTTAAATGACTTCATAGACTGAGTTTATATTTGATCACTAGTATATAAATTTTTAGACATTCCAACTAAAATATTTCATTTTTATTTTAGAAATAATTAGCATTCTTAAATGATAAATTGATCATCAAATATTAAAATAGAAAACTTATAACATCATGGTTATTATCAGTAATCTCATTATTTTCATCAGAAACATTTCTCAAAATATATTGCAGTTACCTAATTTAAGTATGATCTATATAAATGTCTTTATATCATATATACAAATTTGTCGTAAACATCATTAATTTACAACTGTATACGGAGTACAATAGTACTTTATAAATTTAGTCAACTACTCCGTATTATACAATTCAAAAATTATTGAATTACATAAAGTAAATCAAGAATAAAACATTAAAACTACACAACCTGTAAAAGTAAAATTTACCCTCACGGCTTGAGGCTTCCACTAATAAAATTGCACCGGAAGCAGACTTGAGGCTTCCGACTCGTATTAGTTATACGAGTACTATATAATTAGATGTGGTTTTATTTTTCGGTAGCTTCACTAGTTTCCCGTTTCACTTAAACAAACGGGAAGCTACTGAAGAAGATGAAAGTTTCAGGGACAGGGGCACCGACGGATAACCACATATATTATATATATACCTTGAATCTACCAGCGAAGGAGGAGCGTCGGCACTGGCTCGCCCCTCCCTCATTCCGCCGCTGAACGCAATACATACAAACTTATCATATTCAATTTGTATTAAAAACACTTTTATATATGAAGTATTTAGGATGTTTTTATTTGGACTGGAATTCGCTGGTCTAAACTGATCTGGTCTGGTTTGATAAATGTCTGGTTTCTATATATTTAATAACTAATGAAATCTGGTCTAGTCAGAACTAGTCTGGTCTGGTTTGAGCGGGTCTGTATAAGCCTGGTCTGGTCTGTGACTGAAAACACATGATATGGTATTGAAACATAAATGAAAGTTGATGTATTTATAAGCTTGTGGACTTGAATAAATGACTGAATCAATTATGAGAGTCGAACTAGAAAAAGAGGCTTTCTATTTTTGGGGCAAAATAGACCGAGTTACTGCAAATTATACTGTGGGATCGGTATACCATGAGCATGGTATACCCATTCCAATATGGTACCGTTTTTCCATAACAAACAAAACATACGCTGCATGCTATTTACGCAATTGTTAGTTGGTCACTTGGTCACGTGATATCTCCACTCACTTGCACACTAGAACATCCTTCCCCACCGGCCCAGGCATCCACGTCTCTCTCTCAGTCTCTCTTCTTCTTCTTCTTTTTTTTTTTTTACTGTTAATGTTTGCAAATGTTTTTATTTTAATTTAAGAACATTGGGATATAATTAAATTTTTGTGATCAAGTTTTCAACTTTTCATCCTTTCTATATAAAATAATTACTTTTTCATTCTCTATTAGCCTTGTTGATACACTTTTATCTTTTTTTATTATTCAACTAAAATTACAACCAAAAATTAATTATTATTTTTTCAAAATAAATATTTTTTTATATTTATAAACATTTTTAGTCATATTTATAAACTTTTTTATAATATCTTTCTTATCTCTTTTATATATTTTTAGTGTTTCTAAGACATTAAGTTTGTTTATTTCGATTTAAATTTGATAAAACATGAGATTACATTTTTCATGGATGTAAGTTTTTTTTTATAAACAATTTCTGGAGTTACATTATTTGATAGTATATGGAGTTACATCTTTTTATGGGCAAGTTACATCTTCTTGTGAATGAGTTACATCTTCTTGTACGCGAGTTACATTTGGACCGACCTTAGCAAGTTACATTTTGCATACACCTAAGTTAGATTTTTCATCAAAGCGAATTACATTTTACCATAACACGAGTCACATCACAAAATAAACTCCAGCTATTCAAACAAAGAAATTAATTTTTTGGCAAAAAAATTAATTTTTTGACTAAAAATGTTTTTTTTGTAAAAACATTTATTTTTCTTTGAAACATTTTTATGACCTTATTAATCCGAAAAACAAAACATATTAGCTACTTATGTAAATTAATTTGAGCAATTAAACTTTTTGTTTTCATTGCTTACATTTGATAGTGTATGGAGTTGCATCTTCTAATGTGCGAATTACATTTTGTTTATGCGTGAATTATATCTTCTTATACACGAATTACATTTAGACTCGCCTTAACAAGTTACATTTTGCATACATTTAAGTTAGACTTTCCATCATCGAGAGTTACGTTTTCTATAACATGAGTTACATCACAACATACAACCTTGCTATTGAACAAAAGAATCATTTTTTTTTGCAAAAAAATAAATTATTATTTTGGCCAAAAATTGTTTCTTTGACAAAAAAGTGATTTTTAAAAACACAATTTTTGGACTTTGATATTAAAAACATAACGTGTTCACTTTTAAGTAAACCCCTGCCAATGAAACAAATAAAAAAATTGAAATAAAAAACTGATTTTTTTTAGAAAAAAATGATTTTTTGGCAAAAAATGATTTTAAGGAAAAAAACATTATTTATGAGCTTAATATTAAAATAAAAACATATTCACTATTTACGTAAAGTTATTGAGCAATTAGATTCCTTGTTTTCATTGAAATCAATGTTTTATTTTTATAATCCGTATTAGACAAATTACATTTCGATTCGCTTGCAGTTACATTTTTTATTAGCGTGACTTACATTTTTTACACGTTAGTTACATCAAAATGCTGCTGGACAATGAAACAAAATGTAACTGTTCACCCGTGTGAACAGTAACACGTGTTTTGCATGTGGGAGCAACATACTCACCGTGGACTGCTCCCACGGTATACGAACTGCCGAATTACATGTCAAGTTTCAAATACTAAGGGTGCATTCGGTAACGTTTCTGTTTTTCGGTTTGTGTTTTTTTTCTTAGAAAAAAAAACGTTTGGTAAAAAGTTGTTTTTGTTTCCAAAATCATAATCTTTGTAAGTGTTTTTAGAAAACAAAAACATAATTCTGAAATCCACGAAACATAGTTTCTATAAATTTGTTATCATTTATCTTCAATATCCAACTACCGGGACACCACCGGGACACTACCGGCCACCACCGGACCACCACCGACCACCACCGACCACCACCAGACCACCACCAGACCACCACCGGACCACCACCGGCCACCACCGGACCACCACCAGACCACCACCGGCCACCACCGGACCACCACTGGACCACCACCGGCCACCACCGGACCACCACCGGACCACCACCGGACCACCACCGGCCACCACCGGACCACCACTGGGCCACCGCCGGCCACCACCGGACCACCACCGGACCACCACCGGCCACCACCGGCCACCACCGGACCACCACTGGCCACCACCGGACCACTGACGGACCATTACCGGACCACTGACGGACCATCACCATTCACCAGCCACCATCAGACCGCTTC